GCGGATAACCATGTCATTAAAATCCATATGAAAATCCATGTTGATAACTGCATGTACGTTATGTTAAAGTTCATATATGGAATATGAAAATATAATATAAATCTATATAAAAAATGTGAAAAATTCATATATGGGTAATGCATCGCGATTATCTTATATAATTTTTTGAATTCTTTTGTTTAATTTAATATTATTTTTTATTTTCTATTTGTATAATTTATACTGATTTGAATTTTCGTGTATGAAAAAATACACATGCGAGTTATATATTGGCGAATTTAATATATTAATGATATATGAATTATAAATTATTTACATATATATATCTCAATTCATATGTTGAAAAAATCCATGTAGATTTCTATGTGGATTTCCACATGGATTTCACATGGATTTCTATATGGATTTCCATGTGGATTCCATATGAATTCCATGTGGATTCTATGCACACTGCAGATGAGATTCAAAAAACAGTAATAATAATCTTTGAATTTTCGCTTATTCTCGAATTTTAGTTTAAATTTGTAGATGCTTACTGAAAACATAGTAAAGTTTGTTGAAAAATACAGTAATATTTAAAAACTAAAACTGTAAGCTATACTATCTGAAAAAATACATAATTATTGAGAAGTTTCATTGTTCATATGCGATTCCGTAATTATTACTGTTAGCTCTCAGTATTTGTTCAGACGCGAAAACTCAGTGACAGAGAAATATATACCGGAAAAAATACATCCTTTGTACAAAGAATCATTAGCTCAGCGTTAGCGTACAAGTCTGCTATTCTACGGATCTCAAGTTCGGATCTCGATGCGTTTCCAAAAATTATAACAACTTGCGTAATTGTAATTATTAATAAAATAGAGAATATGCGAAATAGAATAAAAACAAATTAAACTCTAAAAAATAATAATACGTAATCATAGTATAAAAAAAATTTTTTTTGTTAAAATCTTATACCGGAATTATTATACTGATCTTTACCGTAATAATTATGAAACGATACATTACTGATACTCAATACTATGTACATCTGTAATATAAGTCTTATTGTAGAATCTGTAATACATGATTCCACATGAATTTCATATAAATTTCACATAAATTATATATGGATTCCATATGAATTCCATGTGAAAATCCATGAATTCTTGGCCCAAATTACCATGTGAAAATCCATATGAATTTTTTCAACAGGGCATATACCGGGTTTACCCTATGTCTTCTGTTATTGACGGCATTGATGGCCGCGCTTCGCGATAACAGCAGATACGTTATCTCCGGCTGATTACTGTTTAATCAAACGAAAAAGTAAAACGATGTTAGTTTGAAATTACGGCAGATTCAGTAACAATTTCCAACTTACAAGAGTGTCGCAAGATGGAGGGGCGTATTTCCTTCCTCGTCGACCATATGTAATGAAGCACCGGCGTCCAGAAGGAGGATACAAAGCTCGCGCTGATTTTTCCTCGCGGCCATATGCAAAGCACTATG